GGAAACCACTCTGTTACACTCAAGAAACTCATCTAACCTAAAAAGATATTCATAGACGAAAGTTAAAGGATGGAAACAACATTTCATGCACCGGGATCCCCAAAACAAGCAGGGTTAGCAAATCTAATATCAGTCTTGGTAAACTTCAAGTTAAAATTGATTAGAAGAGACAAAAAGTCTACTACATACTAGTTAAGGGAACAATCAAACAAAAAGAGGTAACACTGATAAGCACTGAGTACTAAAGCACCTATCTTCATAAAACAAAAACTGCTGAAATTAAAAAACCAAACACTAACACACAGTAGAAGATTTTAATACCTCATGATTGCAGAAAGACCAATTAAACAAAAAGCCAAAAAAAAAAAAATCAGAGCTGAACCACAGCCTTGAATATATGGACTTAGTGAGTATATAGAGAGTATTCCACCATTCTACAAGGAAGTATACATTCTTTTCAGCAGCACATGGTACTTTTTCCAAAATAGATCATATCCTAGTCTACAAAGCCTGCTGCTGAAGTAAACGTAAAAGGATCACCCCATGCATACTATGATGCATACTATGATCCACTGTGCCACTAGAATAGAAATCACTGACAGAAGAAATTTTATGAAAAGCCAAAAGCTCCTGGAAGATTAACAATATACTCCTAAATAACCAATGGGTTATTTGATTTTAAAGAAATCAAAGAAGAAACTTAAAAATGATTAATAATGACAGTACAACTTGTCAAAACCTCTGGGACGCTATGAAAGCAGTTTTAAGAGGAAAATTCATTGCAATCAATGCTCACGTTAGGAAAACAGCAAGCTCAAATCGAAAACCTTATAAGAAATCTTAAGATACTTGAGAAATAACAAACCAGCCTTAAACCCAAATTAAGGAAGGAAATTATAAACATGAGAGTGGAAATCAATGAAACTGAGAATAATAATAATAATAATTAATAATAGTAATAATAATAGGAAAGAAATTAATAAGTCAAAAAACTGGTTCTTGGGCCAAGGATACAGCTCAGTGGCACAGTGCCTGCCTGGAAAGCACCAGGTCCTAAATTTGATTCCAGGTATCAAAAAAAACCCCAAAACCACAACAAAAAACTAGCTCTCTGAAACAAATAAAATAGACGTGCCCCTAACCAAACTTACCAAGAGAAAGCAAGAAAAGACTCACATAAATGCAGTTAGAAATACACAAAGTAAAACCACTACACTGTGGGAATCTAGAAAACAGTAATTACTCCAAAAAATTATTTTCTGACAAATTAGCAAATTTTGAAGAAAGATTCTTAGACACAAAGTACCAAAACTAACCCAAGAAGACATAAATATGTTTATAACCCAATAACAAGTAATGAATTTGACACAGTAATAAAGAATCTACCAACTTAAAAAAAAGGCCAGGAACTGATGGATTTATTGTTGAATTCTACAAAACCTTGCTATATCACCAATACTCCTCAAGTTTCTCAAAGAAACTGAAGGGATAGAGTGCTCCCAAACTCATTTATGGAAGCCAGTATCACCCTGATTTCAAAATTGAAAAAAGACCCAACAAAAAAAGAAAACTGTAAGCCAATCTCCTTAATGAACACAGACACAAAAATCTTCAACAAGATATTACCCAATAGAATGCAGATGTGAGGATGGCTTAACATACATGTCAGTAATGTAATGTATCACATAAACTGAAGGTCAAAAACCATATGATCTTTTCAATAGATGCTGAAAAGGCTTTCAGCAAAATCCAACGCCACTTCATGATAAAAACCCAGAAGAAAACAGGTATAAAAGAACCATACCTGAATATGATAAAAGGTATATATGACAAACCAATAGCCAGCATCATACTAAGTAGGGAAAAACTAAAAGCATTCACCCTAAAATCAGGAACAAGACAAGGATGTCCACTCTCACCTCTTTTATTCAACATAGTACTTGAAATATTAGCCAGAGCAATTAGGCAAGAGAAAAAAAAAATAAAAGGGATGCATACAGGAAAGAAACAACTCAAATTATTATTATTTGCAGATGACATGACACTCTACATAGAAGATCCAAAGAAGTCCACCAAAAAACTCTTAGAATTAAATAACGAACTTCAGCAATGTAGCAGGACACAAGATCAACACATAGAAAGAACTAGCATTTGTGTACACCAACAATGAACAGGATGAGAAGGATATTATGAAAATAATACCACCCACAGTTGTTTCAAGAAAAAGGAAATACCTAGGATTTAATCTAACCAAGGAAGTGAAAGATCTCTACAAAGGCCTCTGAAAAAGGAAACTGAAGAGAGCACCAGAAAATGGAAAGATACCCCTTGTTCCTGAATAAGCAGAATCAACATTGTCAAAATGGTCATACATCCCAAACTATTATATAGATCCAATGCAGTCCCAATCAAAATACCAACAGCATACTTTACAGATTAGATCGAGAAAAAACAATCATATAATTTTATGGAACCAGAAGAGACCCAAAATAGCCAAAGCAATTTTGGGCAACAAGAGCAAAGCAGGAGGCATACCAATACCTGACTTGAGGCTATAGTACAAAGCAATATTGATAAAAACAGCACGGTAAAGAACAAAAACAGATAAATCGATCAATGGAACAGATTTAAGAATATAGAAACTTTCCCAGCCACATTCAGCTATTTAATCTTTGACAAAGGAGGCAAAAGCAACATAGATGGAGGAAAGACAGCTGTTGTAGTTACTTTTCTCACTGCTGAGACAAAATACTCAACACCCAGAGTTAAAGGAGCGAAGGTTTAGTTAGTTCACAGAAGTTTCAGTTTATAGTTGGCTGGCTCCAAGGGAGGGTGGCATGGCAAAGGGGCAGTGCAAAGGAGAAACAGTCCTTGTCAGGCAGAAGGCAGCAAAGCAATGAAGAACCAGCAAGTAACAAGCAGCAACCTCCTTTCTGTCCATCATATCCTATCCAGGCTACCCCAATTTTGATGGGTAGTACTCAGAATGTAGGTAGGGCAGCCTTAATCCTAGCATCACACTGTGAATCAACCCCTGAATCACATCCTTGAATCCAGCAACACACATCCCAGATCCAGCCACCTCAAAAAAGCCCCACCTATGACTGCATGAGGCTTTGAGGGGAAATCTAGATGCAAGCCATGACAATAGCCTATTCAACAAGTGGTGCTGGGAAAACTGGTTATCTGTATACAGAAGATTTAAACTGGACCCCTATCTCTCACCATACACTAAACTAAAATCAAAATGGATCAAAGATCTAAACATTAAAACAGAAATAATAAACATACTGGAGAAATAGGTACAACACTTGGCAACAGGTGTAAGAAAGGATTTTCTAAATAGAACCTCAATTGTGTAAGAAATAACAGCAAGAATCAACAAATGGGATTACAATAGACTAGACAGTTTCTATACAGCAAAAGAATTAATAAGTAGAATGGAGAAACAACCTACAGAATGGGAAAAAATTTTTGCCAGCTACTCCCCAGACAGATGACTAATATCTAGAACATATAAAGAACTCAAAAAAATTAAACCACCTAAAATTAAAGATGCAATCAAGAAATGGGCAAGAGAAATGAACAGACACTGCACAGAGAAAGCAACAAATAGTCAACAAATAGATGAAAAAATTTTCAGCATCTCTGGCCATTAAAGAAACATAAACTAAAACAATGCTAAGATTCCACTTAACTCCAGAAAAAATGGCAATCATTAAGAAATCAAGCAATAACAAATGCTGGTGAGGTTGTGGTGAAAAAAGAACCCCTCTTCATTATTGGTGGGAATATAAACAATATAAACTAATACACCGATTATGGAAACCAGTATGGAGATTTCTCAGAGAACTGAAATTAGAAATTCCATATGACCCAGCTATCCTCCTGCTAGATATCTTCCCCAAAGAGCTTAAGATATCATACTACAGCAATACAGGCACACTGATGTTTATAGCAGCACAACTGGTAATAGCTAAATACTGGAAACAGCCTGTATACCCATCAGCAGATGACTGGATAAAACAGGTGGTATCCATATATAATGGAATACTCCTCTGCTATAAAGAACGACAGATCTGACACATCTGTAGGAAAATGGATGCACCTGGAAGATATAATGTTGGGTCAAATAAACCAGACATGCAAACGTATATGCCATATGGTATCTCTCATATGAGTGAGGCACAATACAAAGAGAATAGTAAGGATAGATGTAAGGGGACAAGGAGATGAATCTCTTCCAATAGGTAACAGGTCAAGCACAAGGGTGAGGAGGAAGGGAAGAGGAAACAAGTAGAATAAAGATGTCACAGATAGGAACCTAATAATCTCAGTTAATGTAAACATTACATGTCACAAACATGAGCTAAAATAATATCCAGAAGAATGAAAAAATGGGAAAGGGTAATTAGAGGAGAGAAGGAGGGGGAAGGGGAATTTAAAAAAAAACAAGCTGTGTTATGTACATGTAACCACTCCACAAGAGAACTGTAAACTGCATGAACTGCAAATGTGTACTAATAAAATAAAAAATAAATTAAAATAAATAAACTTAAAATTTCTATATTTAATATAATCCTTTATGTTCTACATCATTTTTTAAGTACTTTGTAGTTTGTGACTATATAGAGTATAGGAAGAGGCTTACAAAAAAGGCTAAGTTTAAAAGTATATCTAGGTCCAGGACTGTAGCTCAGTGGCACAGTACCTGTCTGGCAACCACAAGGCCCTGAGTTCAATTTCCAATGCACACACACAAAAAATACATCTAAACACAGTATTTATTTTCAGAAATAAAAAAAAAATATGAGGAGTTAATAAAAGTAACATTTTCATATGGGCAAAAACATAATGTAAAACATATAATGTATATTTTTGTTATATATAAAATGTTGTAACAAGCTGGAATTAAGACTTTTCTAAAAACTACTTTCAGGCTGCTATGCCAGCATTTCTGCAGTTTAAAAAAATGCAAGAGGAAAATCCCAGCAACTTGCCTATCAATGCCAGTATCCAATTTCATCTCCATTTGTTCAATTATTTCTTTCTTCTTCTGAAGGCATTCAGATAACTTAGGAGAAGAGCTATTCATATTGAAAGAAAAAAATCAATTAACAAAATTCTAAAAATTTTTCATACCAATACTATATTAAATATATTTATAAATATATACCAACATCTAAGCAACCCTAAATAAACTATGAATACTCTATGTGGCATAACAGCTTTTTGAAAAATAAATTTTATCTTAAAGTGTGATTCTGAAATCATGAATGATCTTTACAGATAGTTTTTGGACTAGTCTCATTCCACTGTTTATAGTAAAATGTCCAAAGTTTTGTATCTTAGTACTTTTTGGTGTAAGTAACTGTGCTAAACACATATACACCATCTTAATTTTCATATGCTTTAAAAATAGAAATTGATATGAAGATATAAAACCAAATCCAATAGCCTCATCAAAACACGTCTCATTAACCTCATGCCTCTTTCACAACAGAAATAAAGTTAGGATTATGACAGATTGTCTTTCCAAATACACCAAAATTAGTATCACAGTAGGAAAAGAAAACAGGAATACACGGATGAAGAAAAAAGAAGTTAATTTCAAACTTCCTGTGTTATTTGATGTTTTCATAAACATGTTTTATTCCTAAAATTTAAGGAAAATATATTCATATAATACCAATATGAAATATCAATATGGAAATTTAACTAACCTTATTAGTGGCATGAGGTGATCATTAAACTGCTTGTCAAAGAGATGAAAAATAGTATTGGCCTGTTGCACAACATCCAAAAAATAGAGATTTGCATTCCTAGAATCTGAGGAAGGAATTCCTAAAATTGAAAGGCACAGATAAATCAGAATCATCCTTGGAGAAATTAATCTTGGGCAACAGAAAAAGAATGTGGTTTTAGGGCCCAGGGTTATAGTTCACTGGCACAGCAACTGTTTGTCAAGTGCAAGGTCCTGAGTTTGATTCCCGGTACAAAAAAAAAAAAAAAAGTGCTTTTATATACCTAACATGAACGAAAGTAATTTCTATTTCAATAAGCCAGCAATGAATTATGTAGACAGGACAACTGAGTTTTTTAGTAGCTTAACAGATTCACACAAACTTATTTTTATGTCTAAATTTTTCACCATTTTCATGATTTGCATAAATAACCGAAAATTAATTAACAAATCACATGTGCTCTGTCTTCTTTACCTTCTCAACTCCCTGGTGCCCAGTGAGTCACATGTACCATAAATATATTTCCAATATTTTTCTTATAATCAGATCTCTTTATCTCTGGTAAGTTAAAATACTTTTCTTATTGGTCTTCTTGATTCAAGTGTCTTTATTTGCTAATCTATACACTACTGTAATAAAGAAATGTGCCTACACGTATACATTTCACTCACTCCATGATTTCCTCAAAAATACTCAAAATCTTCTCAGTATCTCAGAGTGAATTTCTGGTATCAACACGGTAATCAAGCCACTCTACATTTTGACACCCAAAAGTATACTGACCTCTCTGCATTTCAGTTTCTTCCTTTATGTAAAGGATAATGGATAAACTCTCAGGTCCCTTTTAGTTTAACAGATTTATGCCAAAATCAAGAGACAGTAAGAGACTAAACGGATTGAGGATGTAGCTCAGTGGCATAGAACTTACCTAGCATGCATGAGGTTTTGGGTTTAAACCCAGCACAAAGGTGGGGGATGGGAACACCAAGAAAAATATTTTTATAGGATAATTTTTCCAGTTCTAAAAATGCAAAATAAGCCAGGTGTAGTGGCACACACTTATAATCCCAGCACTCAGGAGGCTGAGGCAGGAGGATCGCTGCAAGTTCGAGACCAGCCTGGGCTACAAAGTGGGCTCAAGGCCAGCGTGAACTGCATAGTGAGACCCTGTCTCAAAAAGACAAAAAAAAAAGGAAAACAGCCTAGTGTGGTGGCACATGTATGTAATCTCAGTACTTGGAAAGCTGATGCTGGAGGATTGCTGCAAGTTCAAGGCCAGCCTGGACTACATAGTGAGTTCAAGGCCTGCCTGGATTACACAGCAAGACCTAGTCTCAAAAAAACAACACAAAAAAATGGAAAATAAAGGTGTTAATCTCCGCAAAAGACGAAAGCAACTGGTAAGAAAATTAAAGGCTCTAACACAAAATTAAAGAGAAAAAAATCAATACAGCCTCCTGAGTGCTGGGATTACAGGTGTGAGCCGCCACATCTGGCTGCTATGTTTTTAACCACTAAATGATTAAAGCTTTTAAGGAATTACAATATACAGAAAAACTGGTATATGCAGATGGTAGCAGCAGTATAAATTGGTAGGGAAAACCCCTTTAGGGAAAAGTTTTCATTGAAATGAAAAAAAATAAATTGTGTACCAAAATTTTGAAATAAACATGCTTTGATCTGGTAATCTTACTCTCTCGGTGAAATTCTGGCATTTTATTTCACTTCTGGCACTTATCCAAAGAAAATAATTCAAAATAAGGAAAATACTTAGATATTATATTAGTTAATAGCGTTATTTTATTATTACTAAAAACCTAGAAAGATGTAAGATATCTAATAATAGGGTGTTATTCTATGTGCTTGACAGAATTTTATGCAAACATCAGAAATAATGGCAGTGAGTACTAACTGCATGGGAAATACTAACCTTTCCATCCTACAAGGAAATTCCTAAGCCCTACTGAATTGAGAATATGGCCATTAAAATGAATATTCTAGGTTTCTATACTAGCTAAATCACAAATCCTTCAAACCAGATTCAAATTCATGCTTTTTAATTCATTATATTCTTTAATCTTTGTATCTTTGAGGTAGTACCATCCTAGTACATATTACCACATTAAGTCATTTGCAAATAGCAAATGTTAAATATTCAATGTTAAGGGTTGGCAATATTAAGTAAAAAAATGTTGATCTGCATCAGGAGAGCAGCAATGTGAGAAAAAAGGGGGAAGAAAGAACCAAAGCTAAGCCAAAGTGACTGAATTATGGCTAATTTTGGTTCATCGTTAGAAACTTTACATAATGGTGTTTTATATAGCAAATAAAGATAATCTGAGCATCTATGTGCTTTTTAGATGCTAGAATACAGCACTGAATATGATTCTTACCATCCTATTGCTTTACCTAGAATAGTCTTATTTTAACCTTCAGATTTACTTTACCATCTCAATTCCGCTCTCTGGTTCCTATGTCTTCTCGGAGAGGTCCTAAGCTTTTTATTTCTGAATATTACAACTCATCTCCGGATTACTCCTCCCTGCCTCTTACTCATTTTTCTTACTGCACTTCCTAATCATTTACCTATTATTTTCACAAGAATATAAACACTATGTGTCCAGAAATAGGTATGTAGTTAAGTATTAGATGAATGAACTCTGCTAAGTGGATGTAGACATGAACAAGTAAAAGCATTTCATTGTGATAGGTGTGATATAAAGTTATTTCACTGAGTAACTGAGCTGAAAGAGTAATGTTATTTCAGCCAGGATGATCAGCAAAGACTTCTCTGAGAAGGCGGCATCCTAACTGAGATCAAAGGACTGAAACGCAGGCTGAGATCTCAAAATGAAAAAGTGGGGGTGGGGGTAAAGAATACCAAGTACACAAAGTCTAAGTGAGGAAAAAGAGTGAAGACCAGAGTCACTGGAACAGGGTGGTGAAATGCAGGATGAGATATGGTTGAACATGTAAGAGGCAGACCAAGTCAGGCTTTTCTAAAGAGTTTGTTACTGGTTTCTCTCTAAGAATAATTAGTCACTAAAGGCTCTCGAACAAGGAAATGAGAAACTGGGCACTACATGAAGTCAGTAACTTGGAAAGGCAAGAATGGACATGAGGTGAAAATGTTTAGTGTGTCTGACCAGTTACTAGATGACAATGTTTAAACTGGGGTGCACCAATAGAGATGGAGGAAAGAGCAGATGAACTTGTTAGTATGGAACTACGCTGAAGGATTTGTTAATGGATTGTCTATACAGGCTGAGGAAAAGGAAGAATTAAGGCAACTCCTGGATTTGGGGCTGGAGCAACAGGTAAATGGCAAAACCTTTTAAAGATAAGGCAGAGGAAGAAGTATAGGAGAAAGAAAGTTTCACTTTGGATATTTTAAATTTGAGGGCTTCACTGTACAATTGTTGGGGTCAATCAGACAATTGGATCAATGAGGCCTGGAACTCAGGGAAGAGATCATTAATATTAATATAACTAGTAAATCCAAAAGATCAAGACAAAAAGAAAAATTTTAATACAGTAAAAATCTATTCCTTCTCAGACTTGTATTGGAATGTTCTTTCTAAAATTTCCTTTCTAATTCGCAACCACAAAGGTTTTCATCTTCATTTCTGTTCTTTGACATTTTATAACTTACAGCACTGTCATATATTCTGTGACACACTATAGTGATACATGTAGCTCATAACCCTACCTCACTGGATGTAAATAGTCTGAGAGAACCTGTCTACATACTTTTCAGCACTTGGCAAATCCTTGCATTACAGAAGCTCAAAACTCATTGCACTGAACGGAATTCAACATACAAAAATGATGATATATGAAACAACACTATACATATAATTTAAAGAAGCAGGATCAAAGGACTATAACAGGAAATTTAACACAAATATACTTACCAGCAAGTCCTGTTTCCAAAGCATAATCAATATGTTCAATACATAAAAATTCCACAAGAATTGTAAAAATTCTAAAGGCATTCCTTGGTAAATCAGAAGGATCAGAGAGCTTTAAAACAAAACAAAACAAAACAAATCACTCCTCAAGTCTACTTCTTAAAACAGTCAATGTTTTGCATCAATTTTATATCAGACATAGTATTACAGGTATGAAAATAACTCATATCCCACCTCCCCTGCTTCACATTGATCTGTAGGTCTCCTAACATACAGCAATGTTCTTCAACATGGATTGCAACCTATTTGTGAAATGTAACTACAGTTTCAAGAAATATACATACATATCCCCACATACATATGTACATTCATATGCACACACTGGGCTACCATGCAAAACGCATTTCTTGTTCTGGGTCATGGTCAAAGCGGTTTGATAGCCACTGACTGAATAAAGGATATTTGAATAAAATTCAGAACATGAAGTATTTTTATTTTTATTCCTTGGTAAATCACAAAATTAATTAATACATGCACTATAAAATACAAAATTAATACATGAAAAATACAAATTAAGACACAAAATTAATTAATACATGCACTATAAAATACCATATGCTCAAATTGTTACTTCACCATTTCCTGGTTGAGCAAACCTTTAAGATCTTATTTAATCTCTAGCCTTCAGTTTCTTCGTTTATAAGTTAGGGATGATATTAACAGTATTTACTTTCTTGTGGTTAGAATAAAATATAAAAAATGTAAAGTCTTTTAATAGTATTTGACACAGAGTAAGCTCATAATATTCATTTTGATAGTACTGCTGCTGATAAAACTATTTAGTAAAGGAATTGTTAGTAGTCATGCTGAGAAAATTAAATCCCTCATAAAAATAGGAAAATTACTCTTGTCTTCTTGTAAATGCTTTCTACATTATTTATCAATTGATTGTGCCTTGTCAAACCTATCCATGGTCTCCATTCAATATGATCTCTCAGGGTAGTGCATATTGTAGGTTGGGTACCTCTTATCTGAAATGCTGGGGACAAGAAATAGTTGGGATTTTTTTTTTTTTTTTAGTATTTGCATATACACAATGAGATATCCTAGAGATTGGACAGATGCAAGTTTAAACATAAAATTCATTTATGTTTTATATATATCTTATATAAGTAACCTGAGGGTAACTTCATCAATATTTTTTAGTGTGTCCACCTGTGTCAAATTTTCCACTGTGCCATCACACTGGTGCTCAAAACATTTCAGACTTTGAAGTATTTTGGATTTCAGATTTTCAAATTGCACATGCTCAACCTTAATATAACAGTGCGATCCTGACGTATAAAGCTGGAAGTTTATGAGAAGTTCCACTTAAATCTTGGAACTCTTAACTCTCTTCCTGGTCTTCTTAATAACTACCCAACCTTTACCCTTTATCCGTCTTTCTATCATACAGGTCATCCTCTTCCTTTGCTCACTGATGTCCAACAGGTACCCCTGACACATTCCCACAGGCTTGAACCACCAGTGTACACGCATGACTATCCCATCAGACAACTTGTACTAGTGGTGGTACAAACAGATCTAATCACTTCTATTGGTCTTTTTACTAATAAAATTAATAAAAAGCCACCCAATCGAGAGTCATGCATATACCACTGTGGTTCATCAAGTTACCTGGCACCAAGACTTAAAAATTACAGCCCCATTATGAACATGTTAACCTTCTTCACATGCTAGAAGACTAAATTCAATTTCTCACCCTCTTCCTGTTTATATCCAAAAATCCATGCATAAAAGAAGTAGACAGAAAACTGATAAGGATATAGAATACTTAAGCAACACAATCAACTGGACCTGACATTTATAGACCATAGTACTTCATCTAATACCACCCAACACAATATACATTCTTCTCAAGAGTACACAAAACATTCATCAAATGAACCATACTCTGGCACAAGTTATCTCAATAAATTTTTTCCAGCTACAATGGAATCAAATCTGAAACCAGTAATAGAAAGATACCTAAAAAGTCCCCAAATATTTGTTAACTAAAAACTTCTAAATCACCTTTGAGCCAAAGGAAATCAAAGAGAAACTATTTTGAACTGACTTAAAACACAATACACTAAAATTTTTAGGATGCAGCCACAGCAATACTTAGGAGGAAATTTATGATTAGATGTCTATATTAGCAAAGGTCTGAAATTAATCATCCCACTTAAAAAAAAAAGCTAGCTAAAGAAGGGTAAATTAACTCAACTAAACAGAAGAAAAGAAACAAAAAAGAGTGAAATCAGTGAAATACAAAGTAGAAAAACACTAGAGAAAAATTAATGAAGCCAAAAGATGGTTCTCAGAGAAAGTAATAAAACTAATAAACCTCTAACCAGATTGATCAGGAAAAACGTAACTGTGATCAGGAAAGAAAGAAGTCACATTACTAGTTTTCACAAAGTACCAAAAAGAACAATAAGAAAATATCATGAAAAACTTTATTCTGATCAATTTAATACTTAAGTGAAATATGAAAATTTTTAAAAAACAAAAACTAAAAAAGTTCACTTAAAGTGAACTTATATGCTCTGAATAACTGAACAGTTCTATATATATTAAAGAAATTAAATTTGTAGTTAAAAATCTTCACAAAGAAAGCTACAGGTGCAAATGACTTCACTAATGAATTCTATCGAACATTTAAAAGAAAGAATACCAATCTTACATGAACTTTTCCAGAAAATTAAATGGGGGCATATCAACATTACCCTGATACCAAAACAAGACAAAGACATTTGAAGAAAAACATAGGCCAATATTTCTCATGAATGCAGATGAAAAATTCTTCACTTAGCAAACCTAACCACGTGTAAGTATGACAACAGGACTATGGCCATGTGATGACCATCTAGGATTTGCTTAATAAAGGAACACCAGGCTAACAATTTGGCAATCAATCAGCCCCTGATGCACCCTCTTAAAAGGATAAAAAGAAAGCACTTGTGAAAATCCAGTCTCCATAAAGTAGAATGACAGAAATTTCCTCAGTCTTAAAAAAGAGTGTTTGTAAAAAACCTATAGTCAACATTACTAATAGTGAAAAACTAAATGTTTTATTTTTAGGATGAGAAATAACAAAAGGAGTTTGCTCTCCCTACTTCCATTCAACATCATACTGGATGTCTGTCCAGGACAATGAGGAAAAAAAAAAGAATAAAAGGCATCTGTACTACAAACGAGTACATAAACAGCATTTATGGGTAGGTAACATGATAGTCCATACAGAAAATCTGGCAGTCTACCAAAAAATACTATTAGAATTAAAAAGTAAGTTTAGTTAAGTTGCAGGACATAAGATGAACATACAAAAATCAACTGTATTTCTATATATTAACAACTAATTTAAACTCCAAATATAAAATTAATACTATTTATATTAACATTATAACTGTAAAAGCACTAGTTCTCCCAAAATAAAGCTATATACTTGATGCAATCCCAATAAAAATATCACTTTTATTTTAGAAACTGACAAGATGTAAATGTATGATACAAAATAATTTAATATGGCAATGTTAGTCCTTATACTACCTGATTCAAATTATAACAATTAAAAGTCATAGTACTAGTATAAAGACAAAGGGAACAGAATAGAGTCTAGAAACAGACCCACAAATAGGTGGCCAACTGATTTTTGACAAAGGTTCAGAAGCAATTCAGTAGAAAAAGAACAATCTTTTTAATAAATGATGGTGAAACAACTAGATACCAAATTGTAAAACTATAAATTTCAATCTACATTTTGATATTAAGTTAATTCAGAACAGATTACTGAATAAATGTAAAGGCAAAAAGTCTCAAAATTATAAAACTACTAAAACGAAACTTAAGAGTCAATCTTTGTAAACTTCAGACAAAATTTATACACAATATTAAAAATACTATCTGTAACAGGAAAGTGTTAAATTGAATTTCATCAAAACTAAGAAATTCTATCCTCTGAAAGACTGTTATGAAATTAAACAGACAAGCCATAGATTATATATATCTGATAAACAAGTTGCAACCAGAATACACAACCCTCAAAATATAAAAACTTGATTTAAAAATGCATAAAAGATAGACACAAACACTTCAAAGAATATATACTGATGGCATACATGCATATGAAAAGACGCACAAAGTCAATCATCATTTCAGTACAAAAATGCAAACCAAAACCGTAATATTACTATACATTGTTAGTTTTAAAGTTTCTTAAAAATACTCCGTGGTTCTATTATATCACTACTAAGTATTTCTGAGATTTATTCACATCAATAGATGTAACTACTTGGTTTACTTAAATTGTTGTTTAATAGTGCATGAACAATGCCAGTTTTTCAATTTCTTTTTCATTGAATTGGCTTCTGACTTCTTGTCATGACAAAAACAATGCTACTATGTTAGAATACATGCACATATGAGCTTTTATAAGTTGCCAAATTAGTCTTCAAAGTAACTGTGCAAATTTTTACTTCTATTAGCAGTACATGAGAATTCCTACTGCCTCACATTGTTATCAACACTTGGTATGTATTGTCACACTTCTTAATTTATGCTAACTTAATTAAAATAAATGGTACTTCTAAATTTCATTTCATTATTAAAGGGGTTGAAAATTATACTGGTAATTTTTTGTAAATTGCTTATATGCATCCTTTGTTTTCTATCCATTTATCAGTATAATTTACATTGATTTACTGATGCTCAGTGTAAGATTTTAAACATCAATAAAAAATTAAGACTACATTCTCTTAATTTTATACTTAAGAGCTATGTCTCGCAGTTTCTTCATGTAAAAAACAGGAATAATAATGTCACAGGATGATGATGATTAAATGAGTTAATAAATACACCTTAAAGTGCTTCAAACAGTTCCTGGGACATGGTGTGAAATCCAGTACTACACAGAGTCCCATCTCCCTTCCCCTGAGGCCAGAGCATATGAAAAGAACCTCTGTACCTGTCACAGGGCAAGACAGAAACCTGTTATGAAATTAAACAGACAAGCCATAGATTATATATCATATATCTGATAAACAAGTTGTAACCAGAATACACAACCCTCAAAATATAAAAACTTTAAAGTTTTTATTTAAAGTTTTACAAGACAGAGTTGTGCTCAGCTTTCTATGTAAAGCTTTACAAGACAGAGTTGTGCTCAGCTCCACAACACTGCCAAATGAGCTTGGGTGCTGGCTGAGCCCACAGGAACACACTAGTTCCTGTGGCCATGAGCCTCAGGGGAACACCACCTTAGCACCAGCACTGGCAACCAAAAGACTGTTTGCACCTTTTGTCTGCCAACCTTAAGCAAGGAAGCACGAAGAAAGATTTCATCCGCTAGATGGTAGGACAGGAAAATAAGCATCAGATTTTGCTTTGAAACTCAGTGATTGGTGTGCCATAGTGAAATTCAACACCAGTAAGAACCCAGCAGCCTCTCTTTCCAGGCCACTGCCCACAGATGGAACCTCTAAACCTACCCTAGTACCAAACCAAAACCACAGTTCAAGTAGAAAGAGAATGACATGTTGGCCCCCTTCCCTCCCAGCCAGCTATGGCAGTCTTAGGTCACAAAAGACCATACCAGATGACAGGACACCTTAGTGCATGTCTTTATTCTGCCCCTGTGCTGTGCTGATTTTAGGGGGGACCTGGGTACAAAGCAGATGGCGATATGACTGCTTGCCTACCCCATTTACTTCCCCAACCCCAGGTAGTACAACATGGAGAGTTATAGCCATTTCAAGGAAGAAAAAGGAAGTGGACACAAATCATTGCTTTGGAATCAAAGGGCAGACCCTACCTGGTGAGGTTCAGTGCTGGATGGAATCCTGCAGTGCCTAAACACAGGCCAGTAACTGTGGACAAGGCATTTGGGCCCAACCTGGCCCAGGTGCAGACCAGGTGGAGCAGAAACAGACTACCTTTTTTAGGCACTCCCCAAGTTCATCTTAAACAATACACCAACACTGATTTGTGGCAAACTTGGGCTTGACGCGCCCTCTACTGCTGAAATAGTGGCAATGACCACAGTTTCAGTGAAAATAAAAGAGCCCAGATAATGTATTCTGGAAGGCTGACCACAATCAAAGCAAACCAGATTCTACACTAGAAAAAATATCGCATCTGTCATTGCACAGACATTGTTGCATCCCAAAAAGCATTAAGTCTTTCAGGGTATCATGACCTCATCTCATGAACAAAATAAGACATTCCAAATCATGAGAAAACAACTGCTACATGGGATCTCTCAGACAGAAAACTCAAAACATTTTAAGGAAATTCACTGAATTTCAAGAAAATATAAGAGAAACAATTTAATTCACCAGAGAAACAACAGAGAGGCTGAAATGATTGTAAAAATCGAAATCCTGGAGCTAAAAATACGACAGAATGAACAGTGGGATAACAAGACAGTGATGGCCAACCTTTCAGAGACCGAGTGCCCAAACTGCAACCCAAAACCCGCTTATTTATTGCAAAGTGCCAACACTGCAATTAAATGTGAATGTTCAGATGCTGGCACAATGCTGGGGTGATGCCAGGGCGATGTGGTTCACATGCTGACAGAGTTCTGCATGCCCACTGCAGAATGACTGCCATAAGTTCGCCACTACTGATACAAGGCATCCACAGCAAAAATCAAACCAACTGAAGAAACAATCAGTGAGCTCAAAGATAGGTTATTCAAAAATACACAGAGAAAAAGAATAATGAGGAATGAAGAAAGCTTACACAAACTAGCACAGCACTAAAAATTAAGAGTACATATTCATGTTACTAGGGTTCAAGATGGACTTGAGAATGCCAGAAGTAGAAAGCTAATTGAAAGAGATAACAGACTAATGTTCCAAATAGCTGGGGGCTTTAACACCCATTTTCAGTAATGAACAGATCATCCAGTCAGGAAATCAAAATGAAACAGCAGAGTTAAACTACACCCTCAATCAATGACCCAAATAGTCATCTATAACATTCTATCATTCTCTATAATTGATCATGTTAGGCCAAAAAAAAAGTCTCAACAAATTCTTAAGAACTAAAACACTGACTATCTTTTCTGATCACAATGTGACAAACCTAGAAATTTTTTTTTTTTTTTTTTTTGTTTTTCTCCGGTACCGGGAACCGAACTCATGACCTTGCGCTTGCCAGGCAGGCGCTTTTGCCGCTGAGCTAAATCCCCAGCCCAAACCTAGAAATTATTAACAAAAACAACAACAACAAAACCCTTTGGAAACTGTACAAATACATGGAAAACAAATGACTCCTGAAAAACCACTGAGTCATTAAAGAAGAAGGAAATTTAAAAATTTCATGAGATAACATCTATAGAATACAGCAAAATTTACAACAATCAGTGTTACATCAAAAAAGTACACACTCTGGGAGGCGAAGGGGAGAGGATCACAAGTTCGGGTCCAGCCTGGGCAATTTAGTGACTTAGTAAGACCTTGTCTCAAAAATTAAAATAATTTCAAAGGGCTGAGAATGAAGCTCATTGTGAAGGCCCTGGGTTCAATTCCAGTACCACCCACACTAAAAGAAAAGAAGAAGAGAAAGAAAATAGCAAGAGGAGGAAGGATAAGGGGAGAAAGAGAAAGAAAGAAAGTTATTTTTGTATTTCAAGGAACTACAAAGAATACACCAAACCTCAAATCAGAAGGAAAGAAATAATAAAAACACAAATAAATAAAATACAGACTGAAAATCAATACAAGGATCAACAAAAATAAAAAATTTTTTTAATAAAGACGAACAAAGCCAAACTAAGAAAAAGAGCTTCTCTTTATATAATGAAACGAAAACAAACACAAACTCACACTGTAGAAATACAAAGGGTCATTAGAGAACAACTACATCCAACAAGTACTGATACTCTAGAAGAAAGAATAAATTCTTGGGTAGTAACATCTTACCAAGATTGAATCATGAAGAAATAAGGAAAAAAAATAAAGAAAAGAGAAGCAACCAAAACAGATTAATAATGATGAATGAAATGGAATCAATAATGAAATGTCTTCCATCAAAGAAAAGCCCAGGAACAGCTTTACTGTTAAATTCTACCAAATATTTAAAGAACAAACATCAATTCTCAAGTTATTCCAAAAACTGAAAGAGGAAACTTTTCCAGACATATTTTGTATGATAACAAAGCCAGACAAGGATACAACAAAAAAGAAAGCTATATGCCAGTATCTCTGATAAACATAGACAGAAAAATCCTGTAAAAATAGCAAACTAAATCCAATAGTACATCCAAAAGATTATTCATCATGATCAAGCAGAGTTCATCCTAGAGATGCACAGATGAATAAATTAATAAATGTAATACACCACATCAACAGAATGAAGAACAAAGATCATATGGTTGTCTTAACAGATGCAAAAAAGCATTTGATAAAATTCAACATCCTTCAAGATAAAACTGTGAACCAATTAGTTATGGACAGAATGTACTTTGACATTGTAAGAGCCTTACATAACAAGACCATAGCTTGTATCACATTGAATGGGAAAAAGGTGAAAACTTTCTGAGATCTAAAACAAGGCAAGGACTTCGATTTTCACCACTTTTATTCAACATAGTACTATAAATGCCAGCCAAAACATTCAGATAAGAGAAATAAAGAGCACCTGGACTAAAGTGGAAGACATAATGCTAAGTGAAATAAGCCAGGCACAAAAAGACAATACTGCATCATCTCACCCATATGTGCAATCTAAGAAGGAAGATCTCACAGAAGTCAGCTGAGGAGCGTGGGGGTGGGGAAGGGAGCCATAGGAAAAGTTGGTCAACAAGTACCATGTTAGGTGTTAGGTTAAGAGAAATAATTTTAGGTGCTCTACTGCAATCTGCAGAGTGGCTACAGATATTACATATATATAGTTTGTTTCGTTTTATTTTTTGTTTTTGAGACAGGGTTTCATTGTGTAGTTCAGGCTTCTTTGAACTCACTATATAGCCCAGAAAGACCTCAAACTTGCAGTGATCCTCAAGTACTGAAATGACAGTTATGTGCCATCATGCCCAGCTAGAATACTGTATACTTCAAAAGGCCTGGAAAAATTGATTTTGAATGTTTTCATAACGAAATAAAAAATATTTGGGGAGACACCCATGCTTACCATGATATGAACATTATTCAATCTATATATCTATATCTATAGATATAGATATCAAAACATCACATAAATATGCATAATTTTTATGTATCAATTAAAAACTAAATTAAAATTTTCAAAATAATGTTTCTCACTAGAAAATAGATTTATATCTTTGTATAGACAAGGAAAAACATAAAATACACATTTACATATAAATAAAATAAATTTACAATCACTCTTACCCTATGACATCTTTCAAAGGCTTGTTTGGTTTCTTGTAAAAGATTAACCACCACTTCTTGGGATAGGAAAGTTTCTCCATGAGTATCGATACTTGGCCCCAGTGGTAAGTTGGTACGCTGTCTAATTCTCTCTTTTAAATCTTGAATACTAGTATATCATATAAACAAAGAAAAAAACTTTATGTAAGATTTGAACTTCAAATATTCTCAGATGTAATAAATACTATCAACAACAAAAAAGGACCAATAACCAAGAGATCTAAGTTCCTATTCTAACAGTAATTAGTTTTGTGAAGACTGCCCTTGAATAAAAAGCAGAGATGGAGTTATGATCTCTAAAAACCCTTCCAGATTTACAATTCTAACTCAAACAAACTTCATTTGTTTTCTTCAGGAAGTAAGCTATTCCAAGTAAGTTAACATTACAAATACTGAGCTTTTAAAATAAAACGTCAAAATTTCAATGATTTTTAAATATACTACATCATTTAAACATAGTACACATTTCTTCACCATCTTAAGCCAGACCCAGTAACATAATTTAGTTTTTCTTTGTAATGGAGAGTCATCTAGAACATTTATTATATGGTGTACCTTTAAGTTAAACTCTTTATACTTGCAGAATATGTAGTTTCACTACTGTGAACTCCTTTTTAAAAAAAGTTTGATTGTTCTTTAGTTTTCCTCATCTCCTTGCTAATGCTTTTCAGATCTTACCTCTTAACTCCTAATTACAACCTCTCTCTGATCATATTTAATACACAAACTGGGAAACAAAAAAGTGATGTACAGTGTGGACTCTGCACTTTTTTGATTATATGGAACCACAGAAGTTATTCTGTCTCCACTTGGAACAATGGTGGCAAACCTATGGCACATGTGCCAATGCAGGCTATTTATATCACTGGAAGGTCTAAAAGCTTCACCATCACTGATAGAATCACCTGGGTCCAAGGAGTTATGATCTGGATAACTTATGACAAATTTAATGTAATGTTTTCATGACCAAGTAATCAAAAAAAATCAATTCAGGGCCTTTTAAATTATAAATTATTTGCTATTTTTAAAAAAGTAATTACAATAATAATAAAATGTGATTCTTAGTCAATAGCAAAAAAAAAATCCTATATACTACAACTCTTAATATTACTGATTATTTATGTTTTACAGTCAAATTTCTGTTTCAGGGGCCAGGGATATAGCTCAGCAGTGCAGTGCCTGCCTGACAAGTGCTAGGTCCTGATTTTGATTTCTAAAAAACAAAGAAACAAACAGAACAAAACTACATTATATTAACAATTTCTCCTTTACATTTTAATCATGTTATCTTAGGACATTTCAACATGTGGTTCAAGAGGAGGATTTGATTACTATAAACAGCATGGGTTAAAAGAGTTCTTTCACTTGGTACGTTTGCCCAAATAGAACAATGTTCCTAATGCCTTTAGTTTTAATTATAATATTTAATAAAAGAACTTACCCTCCTGTGCCAATGGATCTCTTTTGATGATTTTTTGAATCATAATAGCGTTGCAGGATCATAGCACTTCTGCTTTTCAAATAACCAGTCTCTACCTCAATATAGTTCTCCAAATAGGAAATGAAAATGGATTTGATAAGCTTAGTCAAGAAAGTCTGTTTATCAGTACCTAAGTTAAACTCCATCAACTTGCTGGAAAGATTGGTGGTTCTTTTCATGGAAAAGGGGAAGAAAAAGATTAATGTATATTTTAGGTGTAGTATTAATGTTCACGAACATATACTTTTACAATGTAACTGTAATGATCTATTTTAAACCACCATTGCTTAAAAGCTAGAATAGGGGGCTGGGGATTTAGCTCAGCAGCACAGCGCCTGCCTGGCAAGCGCAAGGTCGTGAGTTCGATTCCCGGTACCAGAAAAAAAAACAACAAAAAAAAAGCTAGAATAGTACTCAAAATGCAAAAAGCATAACTCTACAAGGCTATATATAAAGTAGAATGGAATATTACATGGTTTTGAGAATTGTCATAAACTCCTAGGGATGACCAGTCTGGAAACAGCACCAGTGGTAGAATGAAATCAAGTATGTGCTGATGCCATTCATCACAAAGTAAGCAAAACACAACTAGCAAGTCTACTCTCTGTTCATCTTCTTTTGTCTTTTTCCACGAGGACTTTTCTCCAATTTTTTAGCATCCATTGATGAAAATAGGATCACTGCCATTTTACTGTTGAGATATACTCAATATAAGTTTTAAAAACCTCTCCCAAGACAAATGAAGGAACAGCAACAGACTTCGAAAAAGTCAAGGAAAAAATTCTATGAAATTTGACATAGTACCTCTCCGAATGCCATTTACAAAAGTATGAGAAAAACTAACATACAAGGTTAAAGACTGAAATTGCTATTTGTTATGAGTATGATATTCACTTCCTTTTGCAATTTCAAAAGTTTTAACTTCAGGTCTAAGTGAAATTATAATTTTAGACTAAAGTAAAGAATAGTGAACTAGCTCACAATTAAAATCAGAAAAAAAATCCATGAATCTGCTTTTAAACAAGATTTTACATTTCTTAGTGCAGTAGGATAAAACATAATATCTAATTCAAGTTAATATAATAGGAATGCAGTTTTTTTTGTATAACTCTAGTCTATACATTCAAGCGTTTAATGCTAAAAGGTATAATGCTATCTGACAAACTGTCATTCAAAAAATACCTACTTCTTCATTTCTAGACTGAACCAGTCTAGAAACAGCAACAATGGTAGAACGAACTGAAGTACGTACTAGTGAAAAAAGAAAATCTAAGATCAATTATTTTCTAATAATTAAAAATATACCTTGTATATAGATCATAAAGATTTTTGAGATACTGTTCTGCATCTGATTTCCTACATTCTTCCAACTGATCTTTCACAAAACTCTAAAAAAGAAAGCCAATGTTTTGTTAAATAAATATTACTTTGCATAATTTCTCAATACATTTTTCTTCTAAAATTCGATGCAGTTTTGAACTACTATGACTTAAAATCCAATCAAAAAGGCAATCCACAGAAAATGGACCAATCATAAAAAATTTAAGAATAGATTTTAAAATTGTACTGCTTCTCATACTTACCTACAGAAGATCTATGTCAGTCTTGGGCATAAATATTAAGAATTTAAAACAATTATCTTTTCTTTTGAAACATCATTAGAATCAGTTCTTTAAAACAGCATTTTCCAAACTGTGGTTTAGGGAACACTAGTGTCCTGTGAGACATTAACAGGCATTGCTCTAAATTAGGGCTCCTTGGTCAGTAAATCTGAGAAATGCTGCACAATATATCCCAATTATAGACACTCATAACATACATCAGCATATTTAAAAGCTATCGAAAGTCCTAAATTCTGTTTAAAAAGATGCATACTCTAGTGGTAAACATAATTTAGAAAATATCTAAATTTTCTAATTTAGTGCTATGGGGGTAAAGGTTGTAAATTAAATTTCTATCTTTTACTTTTTCAGTTAGTATGTCATAAAAAATTCTACAAGATTCCATTTGTAATTTTTATTAATTTTCATGCCTGTCTTTTTTGTTCAAGGCAAGAACTTAAAGAAAAAAATTTTGAGGCTACCAAACCACAATATTGTATAACGTCTACTACTGCTATAACAAATTTCAAGCATATGTTTTGATAACAGGGATTAGCACCTTTGCCTTGGTTAATAACCATTTTTTAAAAGCCTGATAATTGACATTTCTCTCTCCTTAATTAGACTACTAATTTTTAAAAAATTTCTAAAATATTTTTTAAAAATCCTGTAATACCTTAAGAACTAATTTGTCACTATTTAAAATTACCTGTAGTTTGATTTCAAATACATTTTGAATAAGTTTAGCCAGTACTGTTTCTGGATTACTAAAGATATCTCCAACTTGCTTGTTCACACGTTGACAGAGTATTGCTGCATCTTCAAATATATCATTTCTCAAGTAAGCACCCTAAACAGCAGAGGCATTTTACATAGTGAATATATAATTTTTAAATGGGTTTTAAAATACAAATTAGCATAAAAACTCAATAAAGTATACAGGTATGTTACCTCCTGGCACTGCTTTATATACACATCAACACAATGAGAATAACCCTAAAAAGAACAAACACATTGTTAACCATTGTTTCCAGTTCAATTAAAATACAAGTAACAGCAATAAAATTGTTAAATGTGATGAAGCTGTACCTTATGTTCCAGTAGTTACTGGAATGAAATAAAGATAGCTGTACAGAATCAGTTAACATACGTGTCTTCTCCCATTTTTAATGATAATTTAATGATAATTTTTTAATTGATCAGCTGATTTATATACATGTTGGACTTCAGATGAAAAAAGAATGTTGAGGTATAACTGAGTTCTTTGCAGTAATAGCTGCCTTAAAATCACCTATGTGTTTCAACTCCAAAATACACGAGTGTAGGTATGTGCATGTATACACATATACACATACATATACACACACAAAGGGTTCCCAGGTCTTGAAGGTCATATATATACATATATCTTCTTCCTTCTTCTTCTTCCTTCTCCCTCTCCTTTTTTCTTCTTTCTTCTTTTCGATTCAAAGCATATCCCTTTCCTAGGGCACAGCTGTGTTTAACTGGCAGTATGGGAATTTACTTTTCATTTTATGTTATTTTTTTTGGTACTGGGCATTGAACTGAGGACCTTGCACTTGACAGGCAAGCACTGTGCCACTGAACTATATCCCCAGTCCCAGGAATTTACTTTATAAACTGAATTCATTTCAATAAAATTGTTTAAGATAAAGTAACTTGTCATGTTAAGCTCAATATAATACCACTATCTCAAACACCATTCTTAATATTCCTTCAGATGTTACCAAAATGAAAAGTCCAACAACTCTTTTTTTTTTTTAGCATTTTCCAGGAAGATATATCTATTATAAAATATTTCCTTGCATTAACCACCTGAGACACCCTGGATTTCTTTTACTCATCGCATTTCATGTACTCTTTGATGCCTACATTCCACAAGATAATTATGGTCAATTTTCTTGCTTTTTGACCTATTTCAGGTTTGACTGAAGCAGATACATTAAAAAGCAGGTGATAATAATTTTCTTTACCAAACTACATGAAAATTCCTTAATATGAATATAACTAAACATATAAATATTTATTAAAAAACAAGATTCAACATCATTTCACAGACATATAAAATGTGTACTATATTCAAAATCATTTAAAACACTGAAAACTGCTGGTGACATAGTTATACAATTAAGAGGCAAAAGTGAGACACAAAGACATAAAACCTGTAGAATTTCCACAATGCTGGTTGCTGGTCTATATTTTTACTATTTACCTTAAAGTGAAGTAGTACTGCTGCTACTTCCCTCATTCTGGAGATTTCACCTCTTCTCTGAGCACTAGTAAACTCCTGAATCAGCTGGCATTCTAAATCATGGTATTTACCTAAAAATAAAAAGAAAGCCATCTAGCCACAATGAGGCATTTAAAGTATCTAAGTTGCTTACAAATATCTAAGTTATTTACAAATATAATGACTATGACTAAGCCTTTTTTGGGGAATAATTACAAAAAGAGATTACACACAGTGGATCTAACTCCTATAATATTCAGAGTTATATATAATCTATATTTCAAGACATAAAAACTTTCAAACTGGTAAAACAGTTGGGCTCCCTGAGGTCTGACCACCGTTTGTTACTATTACTTAAACCAGTATTTGACTATATATTAAAAAAAAAAAAAGAAGAAAAACACTTTAGAGGCCAGTCATGAAAACAACAGCAAGAAAAGTATTAAAGAGTTAGCTCTGTAAAAGGATGAGGACTATGAAATTCTTTACTTGACTCAGCATTCTTAAGGCTATTATGATTCTTAATGAACACTTAAACTTCAGAGTAATCTATAGTGATCAAAAATATTACCAATAAGTGCAATTATCTATGTCATCTTATTCTAAAAGTTCCAGAAGTACAGGCGGTTGTTTGACTTTCTCTAAAATGGTCTAGCAAACAATGACCCAAGTTACTATGGATGGAGCAATCAAATATAGTGTTTTCTCCAGAAACTTAGAATGATCTAGCTTACAATACAGTCCAAAGATTAGCAAAAACCAAACTAATCACTTAAGGAATAAAATAGGTTGTCTTAACTTTAAAAAGAAAAAAGACAGAAACTTATTCATATACATGTATGAAACAATCTCAAAAATACAATGTTAAATTAAAACAAGGTCTAAAACTCTTTGCTAGCAATTATTTTAATACAAATAAAGATATAAACACATATGTAAAGGCATATACACAGGGTTTACATTTTATGCTGGTATACCCATAAAATATCCTCTAAGAGGACCCCAGAAACTGGTAATGTTTGTTTTCAGCTAAAAGGAATTAAACTCCATGACAGGGTGGAAGGATGACATTGCTCTCACCATCCCCATTTTTGTTACTTGCTTTTTGCTTTTTTTTTTTTTTAACAGAAGTAATTGTTTTTACTTGCTCAAAAAGTTAAACAGGTTGACTCTACTTACTTGCAATCTTGGATTTTACTTCTGAAAATCTGAAAAATACAAGCGAATGATGAGGTTCACTAGTTGTGGCAAACATAATACAATAATGTAAGATGTTACAAAAGAGAAAACTGGGGACAAAATGTGTACTAGAACTCTCTATATTATCTTTGCAGGTTTTTTTGTAAACCTGAAACTATTATAAAATTAAAAGATCATCATAAAAAAAAAGGTAAAGCCTAAGAGAGTACAGACATGAAGCATGACAGGCAACAAAATTTTATCTAGGCTATTTAGATGAGATAGATGGTTCGCATTTAGGAAATTCATACTGAATAATCAATTCCCTTATTCAAGAAGGAAGAGCATGAGGTGCTAGCAAACCAGTCCTGAAATTAAGTTACTGTCCCTATTCATATTTACTGCCACTTTAAATTCACTTGATCACTATGGGTAATAATCTGTCCCACATTGGGATTTTTGAAAATAAAATTTTGCAAAGTTTTTGTAAATGGAGAGGAGAAGAGGGGCTAGAGAGAGGGGAAGGGAATAGGAAGAAAAAGAAACAAGTTATACCATGTACAGGTACAAATTCTCTATGATGAATGCGATCATTATGTATATCTAAAATGTACCAATAAAATTTGATTGAAAAAAAATAAAATATAGTTATAAATTATTTAAATGAAAAAACAATAGCTGGGCATGATGGTGCATACTTGTAACCCTAGCACTCTGGGAAGTGAAGGGAGGAAGATTCCAAGTTTGAGCCCAGCCTGGGCAAGACCCTGTATCAAAATAAAAAATAAAAAAGGGCTGGAGACGTACCTAAGTACAAAGGCCGTGGGTTCAATCCCCAGTACTGCCAAAAAAAGCTTACTATTTTAAAAAATGAATTATTAAAACTAGAAAAATTTTGAAAAAGCCCTAAGAAGAATGTACTTAGGAGGGCAATGATCCATCTTTAGCATTCATCTTTAGCAATTTAAAAACTAAAATACCACATTAAGATTCATCAAATCTTTAATTTCAAGTAGTAGCATACAACATGGAAAACTGATGTTGAAAGATCCTGTGCAATCACTGCAAGAAAAAGAAGAGTGGTCAGCAAAAGAGATGCCAAAAATACGAAGAAAACAAAAATTTAGAATGTTATAAAAAAATGATTTATTAAAGTCATGGTAAGTCACAGAATACATATAAGGTCAGACTGACTGGGGTGAAAAATTTAAATCTGATTACTCAATTCAAAGGCTTGGTCACACAGCTGAAACAAACCTGTAAGAGCTTAGTGTACCTTAGTAGTAACAAGCTTCCCTAGCATGTACATGAAGCCAAGGGTTCAATCCCCAGCATTATAAAAAACAAAAACAAAAAAAGCATAAAACTTTTAAATATGAACTTGAGAGATAAAGAAGATAAACATAAGAATGTATATTCTGGAGAGAAATAAACAAATGGAGGAAATGATGGAGATATAGCTAACTTTATCATGCACCTATTTTGAGCTAGACATGCTATCCACTTAAATGATCCAATTCTGAAAACAAGCTAAAGATAGGCAAGTTTTGGTGGGTGACTTTAAAAATCTTTACTGTAATCCTTTAGGATGATAGAGTAAAACATAATCTGGGAAGGAATTCACTGTATATTTCAGTCATGCTTTAAGTATAGTAATATACCCATGGTGTATCTGTACCGGAAGAGCTTCAAATAGGAACAAAAGAACAGCAGATACATTATCTGATATCATAAAGTCATATTTGTTTCTGATATTCACACAGAAGAACAACTTCCACCAAGACTTCATTAGAGTCTGACATTCCATGTACTATAGAAAACCACGAAATAATTTTCTTTTCAGTGAACAGGATGAGCTCTAACTTAATAATGGCTCTGAGATCTTATATTTAATATAGGGGTTCCTGACATGATGCCCCTGGAGTTTTATAGATACGGTAAAGGCTAAAACTCCATGAAATTACATATAAAAATCTGTGTATATACTAATTTCTTCAAAAACTTTATAACTTTCATTAGTCTTTTAAAGGTACCTTAAAACTCTCAAAACTTTAGAACCTTCATCTAGAAATAGATAAAAACAACATAATGAGTAGTCATTATGCTTAAACTGTATCTTACCACCCTGGTTCTCAAAGTCTGGAACAGAAAAATTCAGTATTTTACTTCAGTCAATTTCAAAAAATCTCATCAAAAATCTTTTCAGAAGACAAGGACTAAACTTTCAGGGTGTATCATTATGTTTACACATTAAGAGTAGGCTATTTTTTTAATAAACTACACTGTATCTTGCAGAAAAAAGCACTCAAATTTTTGTTGATTTAATGGGCAAAGAAAAATCATACAGAGAAAATGTGCAATTTTATTTTATAAATATTTCCAAATTAACTCTTGAGAAATAAACTTGCCTATCAAAAGGTAATTCCTGGGCAATTAGGTGCAACTTCTGAATGATGTCTGCTGCTTCCTTTATCTATTAAAAAATAGATAAAAGCAATAATTAAAAAAACTTATACATATAAAAAATTAACTGCACATTTGAAAAAAGTGATCTCGCTATACATACAGTCTTTCCCTCAAACAATTTTCTTTAAAAGCCCATAATAACACCTTCTGAGCAAGAAAAATACATCTGGGTATTATTATCATGAGTCAAAACCCAAATATTTGTCTATCTGGTACTGAAAATTCTTTTGGTACTGGAAATCTAACTCAGGACCTTGCGCTTGCCAGGCAGGCACTGTGCCACTGAGCTATATCCCTAGCACCTGGTAATGAAGTTTTTATGATTTTTTTGATTCTATAATTCCTTCCTAAAGAAACCTGCAGTTCAAGTTTACTATGAAGAAATTAAAATCATTATTTGCTGAAAGCAATGTGTAAATTCCTTCTAAATTTATGAACTTCAAAAGGATAAGTAAGATTTATGAAGATGACTTAAAACACACTGTGGTATATACTTACTTTAAGCTAATGAATAAAATAATAACAAAATGCTTGTCATTTACCAACCACATAAATTTACAACACCAGTTCTAAAAGCAAAACTGCAGTTTAACATGAAATCTGCATGAAATATAATATAGAAATGTATACACTTTTTCAAGTTACAGGAAAAAAATTTAGGCAACATGTCTAAAATTCTTTAAAAGAAGATATTCGTGTCTATCCAACAGTGTAAAGGAGGTATGTAATGTTCACTTTTTCTTTAAATTTCAACTTAGTATTAACTTTTAATTTGGTGTAACTTTAATAACTGCTTTTATAATGTCTCATTTTCTCTACATCATAAAAGAAAATTTTATAAACACAAAGATCTAAGAATACTAGTCTAAATTATTCTCATTATTCACATGAACCTTGGCAAGCTCTTGTGCATTCAGCAGGACCTAATGCTACCTCTGACTCCAAGCAATAGCAAATATAGTATTTTGGCTTCAATTATCTCTCCTTTCTTATTCAGCAAGCCACTATCATTCTCAGCTGCCAAATAGTTCCTCTATCTGCTGCACATGAGCACACAGGTTTCATCACAGTAAGAGTCCATACCATTTAGTTTTACTGGCAAAGTCCATCATTCTCTCTGCATTAATACTGCCTTCACAAAGAACATATCAACATATCTGGCACCCAGCTCTATTTTTTCATCAATTAGCTCTTTTAAGAGACAGAAATTTGCTATTTTCAAACTGTGCTTAATGTAGTAAGTAGTATAGCAATAAATAATGCTTTTTTATTGAATTTCCAAAGCTAATTATTTTGTAAAAAAAAAACTTTAAAGTACAAGGTTAATTTATTAGAGTTATTAGAGTTAAAATATACTGTAAAAGGGCCATCGATGTAGGTCAGCAGCACAGTGCCTGCCGGCAAGCAAGAGGCCCCATGTTCGAGTCTCAGTATAAAAAAAAAATGAAAAAATAAAATTAAGAAAAGAAAATATATATATATATAGTAGCAATACAAAAACGTCAAAACCACAATCTAATAATCTGTTCTGAAGGTAAGCGGTGAAACTATCCAAATAGTTTCAAGATAACCACAGTCATCAAGCATTACCTGTGTGAAGAACAAGCTACCATTCTACAGGCAACATACAGGCAAGGACAGAGGTAAATGTAAAACAAGTTTTCCTCAAGAAAAATGATAGAATTCCAAAAATTAAACATTAACAAAAAAAAATAACTATGAGGCAAGGAGGAAAAGGAATATGATGTGTTTGCATCTTGTCTCATGCGAACTTACCCACTGCCATACATCTCTCTAACTACACAAATGATTCTTCCTTTTCTTTCCCTGGGAAGATGGCTAGCCCAGAATCCAGAAAATGAGACAGCCAGAAGTTTATCTGGTAATTAGCAACTTAATACCATATTATGAGTTCTTAATTGTAGTTAACTGTGATAGTACCAGGACAAAAATGATGATTCTTAATTAGCAAACTCTAACCCAAAACTTGTGTGGAGAAATGAGAAAAAGAAGGCAATTGAGAAAGGAGGAATAAAGTATAAGAAAATAAGGAAAAAAGGGGATAAAAGAAAAAGGGATAAAAAAGAGCATGATATAAAGAAAAAGAGAAATTAACTTAAATACATAGGTCTGTATTTTCCTCTCCAAAATTACAGATGGCTGAGTAACCAAGTGAATAAACCTGAAGAACATAGTTTTCTTTTAATTAAAATCTCAAATATTAAGAGATAACAGTAATACCAAAAGCTACATAATTACTTATTAAAAAGTTTAAAGTGTAAACACATAAATAATATGAATTAGGTTAGAAATAAATATTTTAGTCAATCTAAAACTTTTTTTTCTTTAAAATCTAAATCACTACTCTGAGTTACAATCAAATAAACAGGTAACTCACACTGGTAAGATATCTGCATTTACTTTATAACAGCATAAATACACTATACTATCCAACAAGTATAATCTGAAACAATCCAAGGCATCAGATTTGAATTACACCCTAGTTTTTATGAACAAGACAAATTTTTATAACACGTTAAAATATTGTACTTCACAATATATGATAAATAAACGAATGTTTTTATTTAGAAAACTTTTTAAAAATTCCATGAACTATCCTTGAGCACAGTTCAGTGTTTAGCCTCTATATTTCTTATATATAAAGGTCACATAAATGTATAAGAGGTAAGGTCAAGTATTTTATAAATCTTTCAATATCATATTTTTCTCAATGTTAAATTTTATCTGTTACTTTATACTATAAATATAATTGCTGAAACTTAATTCTTCAAAATACTTTCTTCTCTTTAAAGGAATTAACAATACATATACAACAATTTTTTAAAGCTCGCTAAAAACTGTAAATTCAATGATCCTACAGAGTAGAATTCACACACACACAAATGTATTACTTAATTCAAAGTGAACTTCAATAATACTTAGCTTTTACCATTCTGATGTTCTATGGAGCAAATATTAGGAAGGTATCAGTGAATAAGTGGGCAGTGTTACAGTGAGTATGAACAGTATGACTGTTTTTTCATGCATTTTGATGTTTTCCCTTCGAAGAAGAAAAGCATCTAAATTATCTTCAATATTGCAGAATAGTCACTACCATACATCCTCAGACCAGTGTTAAGTGAATAGCGCGATGCAAAGGATTAAATTAACATAAACAGTTTCTTGGACCAAACTGCTTAACTCTTTGTAAGAGATCTTTATGTAAGTAATAAAAATCTAGAAGTACTGAATTCCTTTACAGAAAGACACTTCAGCTTCTGAACAGTTTAGGTCAAAACACTCTACCCACTATTCAACATTGTATGAAGACTACAAATGTCATTAATTTAGAAGTCAATTATGGCAAAGAAATTGTTATGAACATAATTACCTCAGCATTTCTGAACCACATATCTGAACCACCTCGGCATTTCTGAACCAAATTCTGAACCACATATAAATGAAAATGCTAGGCAAACTAATAAATTGATTATCAATATATCATCAACAATCTATTGGCAGCTGTATTAAATTACATTTCAGAATAATAACAACTTTTTATAAATCAGCTACTCAGTCAAAAGTCTGCCTAAAAGGAATAACTGCAGCTCATAATTGGCGTTGTTATTAATGTGGTAATCTGCTCTTAGCCTCTGACAGTGCTTACCTTTTCTGAATTTGTAAAAACATCAGATTTCAATTCTCCATCTAGAAACTCATTAAAGTATTTCATCAATTTCTGAGCTTCCACTGCCCGTTGTCTAGGTGTGTTTACCCCTTCCAACTGGTCTCCAAGGTGACAGACTTTGGTTGCTACATAGCTAATGTGCTCATCTAGTTCTTGGAAATGTTGGAAGGCAACCTAGGAAAAATGTGCAATAGGATAAAATATAATTAAAGAGGAAAGTTAATACACATCAAAAATATATTACCAATTCAAGACATAAATCTACAGTGCTTGATGCATGTGTAAAGTCCTATATTCAATCTCCAGCACCACAAAAATCAAGTCAACTAAACCAAACTACTAATCTCATCAGCACTCTATCTTAGGTAATTAAAGACAGTTTAGAAATATATATGAGGAAAAAAAAAAAGAAATATATATGAGTTCCACAAAAGCAATTCCAACTTTTTAGGGTGACATGATCTAAAAACCTCTTAACCAAGTTGTAACCTTTTATACGTTTATTAAAATAACCATATTTATCATGAATATATTTGTTAATCAATATATAGTAAAGCTTCTTATTATTCATCCTGTTTAACAAAAGTACCTGGCACCATATAGCCCTAAATAATGATTCTGAAAACAATAAAGTGAAGTATTAAAGTTACTGGGCATTTGAAGAACACTCTTGCCATTAAGCTAAAAAGATTTAAAAATTATATCAGAAGTAAAAGGTACTGATTTAAAAAAAAACTATTTGGCTGGCCATGGTAGCATATGCTATACTCCACGCACTCAGGAAGCTGTGGCAGGAGAATTGGGAGTTTGAAGACAGTCTGGGTTACACAGTGAGTTCAAGATCAGCCTGAGCTGTACAGTAAAACACTGCATTTGAAAACCAAAAAAATTAGTATTCATTTTGAATATTTAAGAAAGTCTGCTAATATCATATATAGTAAATTGCTCTTTCCAGTTTTGAAAACGGGAAAGACTACAGCAAGGATTCTCCTAAGATAAAGATATATCCCTTCTTGGAATGTTCTTTCCTTCTTCCGAGGTACACCAATTGCCCTGTGGTAGATGAGTATGGTATTTTTGTTCTAACCTTCAACTGAAGAGGAAAGGCTGCAAACATTTTATTGAACAATTTCTGTGTTAGAAACTAGTCTAACTATATTACATGTATTACTTACTTAATCCAAACAATTCATTTTACAGATGAAAAAGTGAGACAAAAAACTGCTTGAGAACAGGTAGCTAATAAGTGGCAGAGCTGCAACTCAAACTAAAGCACACTGAAACAAAGTTTGTTAGTTTATCTATTAATACTATTTTTATTAGCAGGGGAAAGCTGCATTAAGAGTATTTGGAAACTCTTACCTTAACCACTAAAAACACATTTCTTATCTTATTTGAATTGCTGACCTCCACAATGAAATTTTTTCTAATAGTCACATATACTTAAGTGAAAGAATCTAAATAAATCTTAGCAGAAATCAGTGTACTGGGCGATCCCATCCAGAACTCCTCCTGGAAATCCAAGAGCTATTTCTTCCCTTACTTCCAGTAAAACTTTCCTAATTTCAGAAAGAAAGAAAGAGAGAGCACACAAGAGAGAGAGAAAGAGAGAGATAAAGGGAGAAAGAAAAAGAGAGACAGACAGAAAAGGGAGGGAGGGAGGGAGGAAAGAGAGGAAGGAAGGAAGGAAGGGAAAGAGAGAGATAAAGGGAGAAAGAAAAAGAGAGACAGACAGAAAAGGGAGGGAGGGAGGGAGGAAAGAGAGGAAGGAAGGAAGGAAGGAAGGAAGGAAGGGAGGAAGGGAGGAAGGGAGGAAGGGAGGAAGGGAGGAAGGGAGGAAGGGAGGAAGGGAGGAAGGAAGGAAGGAAGGAAGGAAGGAAGGAAGGAAGGAAGGAAGAGGGGAGGGCAGATCAGTTCACTAATCCTACACTACGGAACAAATAGCCCCTAGAAGGCAGCAAAACTCAACAATGTTCCACAAAGGACACTTAGATCTTTAGGATGGCTAACCTTTAAGAGCTTTCAATGATACAAAAACAGCCTGCTATGATAGAGTGCTGTAGGTTTACCACCACCGATTTAGACCAATCACGTTCCAGAGTAGTTCAGCATGTGAAAGGGCTTCAGGATTCCAGATTAACTTTAGGGTTAAAGAATGACTATGAAGCTAGGCCTGCCTACGCACTGGGTGGTTTGGTTTTACTCCAAAATGGACTGAGGAAGAATTCTACATCCACTTTTCTGACAGTTACACTTGAATTCTCACTGAGACAAACATTTCAAAACTTTTGTGAAATTTCCAAGATCAGGTTTCTCTAGGGAAATATCTGATGCAAGTCTGGTATTACTTTGTAGGATTAAAAATAATGCAAATACAATCTAAACATCCATTCTAATTGAGCCCCTAAAAGCTCAAGTCTATTACAGACTATTCTTGAAAGTTTGCATTGTTAGAAACACCACACTAAACATGACACTCCCTCATGCTGAAAAGGGAGTATTGTGATTGCCAAACCAACACTCAATAACAAGCTAATGCCAAGACCACAGGATAACAATTCATTTATTCCATGGTATCAAAGAAGTAGAGAGAAACCTCAATAGTTACTTAATTAGACTTGACTTTTTAAAGAGCTTACAGTTTGAAAGAAGTAAAGATAATGAATATAAACTATTTATTGCTTAGCTAAACGTTTACCTGATTGCTTTTCTGAAGTTCCTGTACCTTCTTGGCAAATTCCTTGGCTTCCTTCTGACATTGTTGCTCTAATTTCTCTACTTTCCTTTGAATCCTTTCATCCATTAACTGGAGTTCTTGAATATGATTTACAAATTCTTCTAATAATCTAATAGAGGAAAGTTAGATTATATATCACTCTAAAAGGAACTAGCCAACTCATTTATAAGGAAAGCCTTAATACAGTTCTTTGAGATAGGGATGATCATATCAATTTCCTCTACAGTATTTTGTTAGGAGTTTCCCAAGTCTTTCTGTAATGTCACAATTAATTCTTCATTTTGCCCATGCCACACAGATTTCTTAGATTTTTGGCCAGTATTTCTTAACTTCTCAATGGATCATTTTTGAGGTAAATAAAAAGTTCACCCAGAATGCCCACTAAACTTCCAGAATAGAAACAAACTTTATAGCTTTTTAAAACAATCAAGAAGACACATGTGCAATATAGAAATAATATTATGCATGCTATAGTGCACTGCCTCTGTTCTCCCAATTTCTGGATATTATACTTAGAAACACTTATTTAACATGTTTTTATTTCAAATGTGTAACTAACCCTTTCTATTTTGATTGGAGAAAATACTGAATTTTTATTCTTAATAAAATGTAGAACAGTTAAAGTGTATCCCTAAAATAAATGGAACAAAAAAGAAAAAAAATTTCAAATTCTTGACACTCTATTCACCTTAATTATACGTTATCTTTTTTGACCAACTATTAGTTAAAATCCCTTTACATGAATTTTGAAAGGAATCCCAATACTACTCAGATCTATAAAAACACAAATTTTCAGTATACTAGATTGAGATTATGAAAACCAAGAACAATTTTTATTTTACCTTTTAGGATCAAAAGCTTCAGGTCCACCTCTAGAACCTCCTCCTGGGGTTCTCCACACAAGACGTTCAATATATTCATCTGCCACAAAAGGCTCCTAGTTTACAAAAATAAGTGTGCTTTAACAAAGTTTCACAGAAGACAACAATATGAATCACAAATATAAAACAGATTCTAGCTGGGTGGTGGCGCACGCCTGTAATCCCAGTACTTGCGAAGCTGAGGCAGGAGGATCGTTGCGAGTTCAAGACCAGCCTGGGCTACAAAATGAGCTCAAGGCCACCCTGAACTACACAGCAAGACCCTGCCTCAAAAAGCCAAAAAAACAAAAACAAACAAACAAACAAACAAAAACAGATTCAACTATGTGAGAACTAAAAATGGAATTAAGTTACTATTTGTCTATATTATTAAAATGTACAAGGTTTTTATCGATTTAAAAACCCATCAATAAAACTAAATGCTTAGTGAAAAATGGGATATTAAAATATCAGAACAGTATTAATGACCTGTTGGAACAACCCAACAAAAAAAAGCTAAAGACAAACATGCAACTTATAAATACAAATGCCCCCAAAACATGTGAATGTAGAGCCTTGCTAGCTTCAAATATGTTCAATTATCAATTTTTTAATCTTACAAACAGAAATATTTTTAAAATTATAATATGCAATGCAGGAAAAGCTGAGAAGAAATATGTACTCTCGTTATTGTTAGAAATATCAACAGATACAATCTTTTTGGAGGACAACTGGTCACTATTGTGTAACATCAACCATATTATAAATGCTAAGACTCTTTACTCAGTAATTCTACTTTTTATATTCTATTTTTTTTTTTTTTTTTCTTTTTTCTCCGGTACCGGGAACCGAACTCACGACCTTGCGCTTGCCAGGCAGGCGCTTTTGCCGCTGAGCTACATCCCCAGCCCCTAAGGCTACTTTTTATATTCTAAAGGAAAAGCCCATATGAACACAAAAACTTTTATACAACTGTTACGGTTTACATCTAAAATGTTTTCCAGCAGTCTCTTATGTTTGGTGGTGACTGGATCAGTGAGGGCCTACAGTACTTATCAGTGGGTTCACTGATGACTTCAGTAGCTGGATGTGCTATTAGGAGGTAGAGCCTGCTTGGAGGTGGTCAATGAGGGGCATAACCTGGAAGGGTGTCTTCTTGTCCCAGCTCCTTCATTCTCTTCTCTTTCTCTTTCTGGCATGGGACTAGCAGGTGTTAGCTGGGCCTTGCCACCATACCTTTTAGGTCTTGGAGCCTGCTTAATTTGGACTGAACTCACTGGAAACTGTGCGCCACATAAACTACTCTAGGTTTTGGGTGTCAGGTTCTGTATTTTGTCCCAGTGACAGTAAAGTGACGAATAAAAGTGGTGAATGTACACTGTAATAGTGTAACACTATTTACCTATCCAACAAAATCACGATGGACAAATTATGGCGGACTAATAGGATGAAAACTATATTCCTAGTAAAGTCATGTAAAATGACATTTAATGAAATGAGAAAAAATGCTGACATACAATACTGCAAAAACGCAGGATACTAAATTTTCTCAGGATAAAGTAATAATTCTTTAAAAAGGCTTTTAGAGTAGAAGCTCCAATTAAAAACAGTAAACATTTAAGTGTTTACTATTCATACATAACACTTTTTAGGCTATTCCACAGTAGTGTATCTACTTTCCATACCACCTCTTTCACGCAAATACTATACAGTACTTTGACACCAACGTAGTATGTAACAAGCTGGGAGCATTTCCTAGTGATTACAATTTGAATCTTTGTATGTGTAAAATTTTCCCATTTATTAATTATACTTCAAAAGTATTTCTTCATTGATAAACATTCGTTGAACCAAAACATTTGCAGTGCCAAACCCCTGTTAGACTTTGGAACAAAAATATGAATAAAACACAGACTACAACCTCAAGAATCTCATAGCTTAATAGGAAAAAGAAATACAAAGAATGTGATAATATATAATATGTAAAATTTTAAATGTGTGCACAAACTTCAGTATCAACACTGCTCAGTTGTTTATTAACTCAATAGGGTGGGGTTAAGGTATAGAAATGAATTGTTTGTTAATTCAAATGCTTACTGAGCACCTACTACGTTCTGGGCACTAGGCACTAAGAATACAAATGTACATTCAACAAGGTTCCCTGCAAGGCCCCATGGAAATGATCTTCTAGGTAGAGTTGTTAATAAACAAGTATCACAGAAATAACTAATTAAAATTGTCATAAATGTGATGGTAAGAAAAGCCCTGGGTGCTGTAAGAGAATGTAACAGAGGAAGAGGTGACTGGAATACGGGGAAGACTGGCCAAGAAGGGTGTCGTGTCATGCAGTTTCTGAGAAAGTAACATTTAAACTGAGGTCTGAAGAAGAAAAATCAGCCAGACAAAAATAGTACGATGCCTTCCAGACTCTTAGGGAAAAGGAAGCCAGAGCTTAACTTGTTAGAGGAACTAAAAGATACAGGAACGACATATGGAAAGACCCAGAAAAAGACAATCATTATGATCAACAGATGATAGCATTGTCCTCCTTGTCATCATCACATCAGAAACTGAAATGGCTCACCAGTCTGATGCATGCTAAGAAAGGGAAGCAGAGGAGAAATTTTAGTCAGAATAAGAATCATCAGAATAAGATGGGAACAAGCACTTCACATGCATTACCTCATTTGCTAGTTTCAAAAAGACAGAAGGAAGGTCCTACTTTATCCCTCACATTATGATGTCAAGTACTTCCTAAGAAAACACAAATTGTATGTTGTAAACCTAAGATTTCAATCACTTCATTCTACTACTCTGCTACAAGTAGCTCTTTATGCTTAGAAAATTAGGTAAGGATAAATAGTAAAGCTAAACTAGTAAAACTGTCACACAAGGGCATATCATTGATTTTCCCTTTTAAATTTTCTACCTACATTAATAAATATTAATCTATGGGAAATCAATCATGCAAACCAGTACAGCAATTTTATCAGACAATTGATAAACAAGTATCATTTTATTAGAAAACCATATAGCTTTTATGATTCTTAGTATCACTCATCACTTAGTGGAGTAAAACATCAACCAGAAAGTACATAAAACAACGTAAGTGGGTGTTAAAAACTTTTTAAAGCTTAGCCGGGTGTGGTGGCGCACGCCTGTAATCCCAGCACTCGGGAGGCTGAGGCAGGAGGATCGTTGTGAGTTCGAGGCCAGCCTGGGCTACAAAGTGAGATCAAGGCCAGCCTGAACTGCATAGTGAGACCCTGTCTCAAAAAAAAAAAACAAAAACAAAAACAAAAAAAACCAAAACTTTTTAAAGACTTACTACATTTTACCATAAAAGACTTTCACAGTGGTCAAATAACACTAGTGCTATTACTCTAATTCATTTCCTAAGACTTCCTTTATAGGACAGCTATCTGGTATAATCAAGGCATAACATGTACACAAGACTGCTAGCTACTTTTAACATAAAATTCCATTTATCCGTAAGTACAGACATGATTGAAAATTGAGTCCTAAGGATGAATTAGATATCCACCCAAATTAAAAAATCTGACACCTAAAATACAATGAACTCACTCAGCCAACATATCATAGTTTAGATGATCATATCTCTAGCTTACTTTACTTCTACGGAGGGCAAAGGTTGGTGTATGTCTAAAAATCCTTACCTTATACATATAAAATAATAACTTAGGACAAAAGAATTTATGTTTAGAGCTATTTAGAACTAAGAAACTAAGCTACTAAAAATTTTAGAAAATGGGCTGGGGATATAGCTCAGTGGCATAAGTGCCTGCCTGGCAAGTGCAAGGTTGTGAGTTCAATCCCCAGTACCGCAAAAAAAAAAAAAAAATTTTAGAAAATCTTACCAGCACATAAATGATGACATATGGGGATCATAGTTAAAAAATATGAAGTGATTACTATGGCTGGACATGTGCCTACCACTTTATATACTGTAATGCACTCAATACTATGATAAACAATAAGTGTATGAGGTGGGTTCTATTAATACTATTTTAAACCAGTGAAATTATGTGATACATAAAGGTTAATCTAAAATCAGGCAGACTTATCAGATTTCATAGGCCTAAATCTTAACTCCCGGGGAAATCAAGCTTTTTCTTTAAAAAAAAACCTGAATTACTTTTTCAAAATAATCCACAATACTTCCATTAAGTAACTCACATATTAATTGTTCTTCTTCCCCCCCTTCTTATGGGAGGGGGGAGTAATTTTTTGTATAAATACTTAATCTAAGTTCTAATGTTATTAATTTCATTTATTAGCTATGGTACAGTTTTCAATTAAACATGCTATATTGTTCATTAATTTTAATGTATTGGATTTATTAATTGACAACCAAAAAACTGATAAATCAACAAATATAGTAAAAAATAGGCATTTTTATATGAAAGTATTTTCAATTCTCTCAAAGTAAAGTATGCCTTTGATCCATAAACAGCCTATTATATACTAGAGAGTATTGTAAATACCCAGGAAACAGGTAAGGAGGAAAAATTTCTGTTTCTCTGGATCAAGTAGAAGAGAACGACAAACAAATGAGCAGGAAAATGATAAGGTCATAAGAATTACAAAGAGAACTAAAATAGATACAAAGTGATGGGGTAAAAGTGGGATTATTTTTCATAGAAATGATGAGGCAAGTCCCTTCTAGGAAAATATATCTTAAGCAAGGACCTGCATGTAGCTAAGAAAGACGCCATCAGGAGGAGAAATAATCCATATAGGAGTAAGCAAGAAACAGTAAGTGGCCAGTGTGACAAACGAATGAGTGAATGAAGAAAAGGTGTGGACAGAGTCAGGAAATAATATCCAGAGCATGCACCAAAACGTTATAGGATGTTAGATGACATATTCCCAGTTAATGACTCAGGAAATGGCCAGATTACCAAAAGGAAAAATCCTACAATATGCTGACAAATATATGCACAGTAATGATTACTTTACTCCTTCTTCCAATTTTAGTGTATGTGTTGAAGCAAGCACTAGTCCTTCTTCCAAAAGTTCCAATCATTTACGATAGTACACTAGAAGATGGAAAATA